TCCCTGAGTAACAATTCTGTGGCCCTAAGTAACGGTTCTGTGGCCCTCAGTAACAATTCTGTGTCCCTCAGTAACAATTCTTTGTGTCTGTCCCTGAGTAACAAATTCTGTGGCCCTAAGTAACGGTTCTGTGGCCCTCAGTAACAATTCTGTGTCCCTGAGTAACAATTTCTGTGGCCCTAAGTAACGGTTCTGTGGCCCTCAGTAACAATTCTGTGGCCCTCAGTAACAATTCTGTGTCTGTCCCTGAGTAACAATTCTGTGGCCCTAACTAACGTTTCTGTGGCCCTAAGTTACAGTTCTGTGGCCCTCAGTAACAATTCTGTGTCCCTGAGTAACGTTTCTGTGGCCCTAAGTAACGGTTCTGTGGCCCTCCAGTAACAATTCTGTGTCTGTCCCTGAGTAACAATTCTGTGGCCCTAATTAACGTTTCTGTGGCCCTAAGTAACAGTTCTGTGGCCCTCAGTAACAATTCTGTGGTCCCTGAGTAACGTTTCTGTGGCCCTCAGTAACAATTCTGTGTCTGTCCCTGAGTAACAATTCTGTGTCTGCCCTAACTAACGTTTCTGTGTGGCCCTAAGTAACAGTTTCTGTGGCCCTCAGTAACAATTCTGTGTCCCTGAGTAACGTTTCTGTGGCCCTCAGTAACAATTCTGTGGCCCTCAGTAACAATTCTGTGTCTGTCCCTGAGTAACAATTCTGTGGCCCTAACTAGCGTTTCTGTGGCCCTAAGTAACGATTCTGTGGCCCTCAGTAACAATTCTGTGTCCCTGAGTAATGTTTCTCTGTCCCTAAGTAACGTTTCTCTGTCCCTAAGTAACGTTTCTCTGTCCCTAAGTAACGTTTCTGTGGCCCTAACTCTGTCCCTAATACAGAGCGGTCTGCCTCTCTTGAATGACTGGAGGCAAATGGAGAATTCTAAAATGGCCGCCATTTATAGCTCGACCATTACACAGTGCTGGCTGGCTGGCTGCTCATTGGCTAATGCGATCACATGTCATTAAGAAGTATGCTATTTTTCGGATTCGGCGCGAATCGAAAATTTTCCAATGTTCGAAACGAATTCCACTTCGCCTACTTCGATTCGCTCATCTCTAATTATTATCACTAATAATTAGTATGTATTTTTAAATTTGCACTGTATCATAATAATTTTTTTCAGTGCTGCACCATTTTTGTTTGTAATGTCAACAAATGTAAGGATTATCTGTATGGGCTTTTGAAGTAGAGATAGATGCCAACAGCCAAGCTAGATGCCACTACAAACCATTGGCTAGCAGCCTTGTCGGGATTCAATTCAGTTTGAACGTGATCTTGATCAGAAAGTTGGACTCATGTGCCATCTGAGGGAGTCCAGGCTTTGTGTCATGGCATTGATGATCACCACAAAGGAGCTGAGGCCATTGGAGTCACCCCATCAGGAGTGCCTAAATACTAATGCAACCAGGTGAGAAGCAAGAGGCTCCCACAGTTGTCAAAGAGACCCAAAGGCAGATCAGAGTGAGGACCTGCTGTACAGTTTAACTTTGAAAGCTTTGACTAAACAAGATCCCAGCCTGCTAGTAAACAGTTCCATCATAAATTCCATGTTAGTCTACAAAGAATGGGATGGCACTCTATTGAATATGCTAGGAACTTTGCCCTCAGAGAAGAAACAACATTGGGGAAATCATATTGCAGCTGTAGTTCATGCCACAACACAAACTAATGATGCCACAGGGTATTCCCTGTACTGAAAAAAGTTTGGGAGAGAAGCTCGACTGCTGGTTGACCTAGCTTTCAGAACTTCGATGGAACACACTTCCCTGATTTCATACAAGGGATATGTTGACCGACCATGGAAAAATGTGAAGCAAACCTATGAAAAGGCGAGAGAGAGACTGCAACCACACAAGAGCAAAGAAAAAAAAGGACTTTGACCTCAATGTAAAAGTACAATACCTTCAGCCAGGGGATCATATGCTGTAAATAAACTTTGGAGCACCCAGGGAACACAAACTGGCTGATTGCTGGTGTTCCCAACCATATATCATCTGAAAGCAACTGCCCGGGCTGCCAGTTTTTCAAATCCACCCTGAAAATGTGGCACCAAAATCACTAGCTGCCCATTTCAGATACCATCTGCATACCTCAGCCTCCTGACTCCAAACCAATCAAACCATGTAACCTTTAACGCTAGATCACGCCAGCAATGTCAAACTAGCATTCACACAGAGGAAGAGAATGAAGGTGATGGAGAAGAGATGGTGCCTGATTGGTTGTGACCACAGCTTCAGGAGCATAACGACACCTCTACATCAATTAGGGAAACAGGAGGAGAGGTTCACCCTCTGACACTACTGGGTGGGCCACTGCAGTCACACTGACCTGTCAACATAGTAATCACTCTCTAACTGATGAGTTAGGCAAGTTAATACACATGAACCCTGATGTTAGTAAATTACTTATGAATATGAGTTATGGTTGATTTCTCATTTACAGTTAATGATCAAATGTATAATTGTACAGTATATTAAGTAATTAGTATTACAGAGTTCCACTACCTTTACATGGACAAAAATTTAAAGTGTGGAGAGGGGGTGTAGCCAGGTGCTGACTATATCATGATACCATTCAGGAACATTTACAGATGAGACTATGATTAATCTTTTTTCTCTCTAATGCCTAGTACCTGGACTGCTACATCACTTCCTGTTAGCAGAGTGGATTCAGTTTTTCTGACAGCAGAGGATCTTGGGAGCTGTAGTCCTAAAGCCAATACATTCCTGAGTGCTGATTGAACTACAAATACCAGAGAGCTAGCAAACCAGAAATATGCTGGGAAAGCAGATATATTCTACAGCAAGGGAGTGGTTCGCTCTCTTGGTGCAGGATTCAGAGCTGAACACAGGCTAGCTGCTATTCTCCTTCAGAGACAGATTTATGGCCTACTGCTGTGGATCTCTGCACATCAGTTCAGCACAGTGGTGACACGGATCCCTACATAGGGATCGCACCAGCTTCTTTGCATGGAACTGTCACTATCCAGACTTCACACAGACATCTCAGGTTGCCGAGCTGACAGACCATCAGGTGGTAACTTTGCACTTCCCTACAAGCAGCCAAGAGCCTGTGCAAGAACTCTGTTCATAGGAGGCTGTGCTATCCATAGGATTGGTGAGCGGATGGATAGCCAACCTCTTCCTGTCATCACTTCTGTGAGACACTCTATGCAGACACCTTTACACCTCAGTACCAGGAGATCTTTGCTTTGAGAAGTTCCATGGCTTATCTGTTTAACTTAATTGAATTACTAGTTGTCAGGAATGGACTTGCCAGTGGTGGTGAGACTCACCTGCCTTGTGGGCTGCAGTACCAGGGCTGGCCAGCAGGTGCTCTCAGCAACCAGAGGCTCACTCCTGCAATGAGTCATCACCTGAGGCTCATTACAGCAGGTGTATTTAAGGAATGGCTAGGCCTGTGATCAGGGCCTTGGTGTATGTTTCCCATGAGCCCCTGTACCTGCATCCTGTCTGCTTCCTGCCTGATCCTGATTCTGCGTTAATCCTGACTCTGCATGAACTCTGCCTGTCCTGACCTCAGCTATTCCTGACTACGCTTCCACCTGCTCCTTGTACCTTGCCTGCCCGTTTGCTACCGACCCGGCCTGCCCGACTATGTTTAGTATTGTTCCTATTGTTATCTGTTGGAGGTTTGGTTTCACTGTGTTTATGTTTAGTCTTGCACTGCGTTTATGTATTATTTAGTCTTTAATAAATTGTATTGTTTATACTATACCTGGAGCCTGTGTTTCCCTGTGTAAGTCCACACATTTCTGGTCATACCCGGATCCCTAACACAACACCAAGGCCATTCCTGACCAGAAGTGGCTGCACAGGGAAGCCATCTTGGCTTATTGTTGCTGGGAAGGATGCATCTTGATGAGGTGGTGTATTTGTCTCTGCTAGTCTTTGAAGACAGAGATTATGCTTATCAGACTCTGAAGGAGTATACCAGGGATCAACTACTAGAATGCATAAGGATCGCTCATTGCCTAGTAGATCAGGGCACAGAGTTCTCTGAGGTGCAACCATTGATTCAGATTTGTGCAGAGTTGGCTTCGTCTGGTACCCCCGAATGCAAGGATGAATTTTTGCCGCCATTTAGTGCCGACCAGGTAGAGTCCCTGGTGTGGTTATTGGAGGATGATGTGGATTACTTCTTGGAGCATTATTCTGCATGTTCACAACAGGCGCTAAGAGATTGTATAAACGCAGTGCAGTCTTTGACCAGACAGGCTTTGTGTAAGCTGAGTTTTGTTCAACCCATACTGCAGACATGGTCAGACTTGTTGCACCCAGCCTCAGTCAGCTTGCAACGTCATTCCTCTGCTCAAGGCACTCTTCCTGCATCCCCGACAGCCCCCTCAGTGACGGCCCAGTATACTCTGCTAACTACCACATATCAGTCCCCTGCTCCCACTCGCTGCACCTATCCTATCTTTAACCCTGTAAAGAAGTCCTCTGTAGCAACTGCTCCCTCCTTTGTTCCATCCCTCAGCTCTTCTCTGCCTACAGCTGCTCTATCCACTTACAAACCTGCGCTTACTTCCTGCTCTCCAGTAACTAAAACCAGGAAAAAGCAAAAATTCTTTCCAACCAGTATCCTGCCAGTATCCAAACCGGTCAGCCTGCCATCTGAGAACCCGCCTTCCGTGGTTCAGCCTGATACCCTGATGCCCGATGACCCAGTGTACAGTACCCAGCTTGATATGTCTACCCAGCCTGATGGTCCTATTATGCCAGATGACTCGGTGCCCGCTGTCGATCCAGACAATCCAATGCCTGATGACCCGGTGCCCACTGTCGAGCCAGATGACCCGATGCCTGATTACCCGGTGCCGCTGTCGTGCCTGGTGACCCGATGCCCGCTGTCGAGCTAGATGACCCAGTGCTCGCTGTCGAACCAGATGACCAGGTGCCCACTGTCGAGCCAGATGACCTGATGCCAGATGACCCGATGCCCGCTGTCGAGCCAGATGATCCAATGCCGGATGACCCGGTGCCCGCTGTCTTGCCAGATGACCCGGTACCCGCTGTCGAGCCAGATGACCTGATGCCAGATGGCCCGATGCCCGCTGTCGTGCCTGGGGACCCGATGCCCGCTGTCGAGCCAGATGACCCCGTGCCCGCTGTCGAACCAGACAATCCAATGCCTGATGACCCGGTGCCCGCTGTCTTGCCAGATGACTCGGTGCCCATTGTCATGCCAGTTGACTCGGAGCCCGCTGTGGAGCCTGGTGACTCGGTGCCCGCTGTCTTGCCAGATGACTCGGTGCCCGCTGTCTTGCCAGATGACTCGGAGCCCGCTGTTGTGCCAGATGACTCGGTGCTCGCGGTCTTGCCAGATGACTCGGTGCCCGCTGTCTTGCCGGATGACTCGGTACCAGCTGTCGTGCCAGATGACTCGGTACCCGCTGTCGTGTAAGATGACTCGGTGCTCGCTGTCGAGCTTGGTGACCCGGTGCCCCCCGTGGTTCTGCTAGATGGCTCGGGACCCGCTGTCATGCCAGATGACTCGGTACCCGCTGTCGTGCCAGATGACTCGGTGCCCGTTGTCGTGCCAGATGGCTCGGTGCCCGCTGTCGAGCTTGGTGACCCAGTGCCCGCGGTTCTGCTAGATGACTCGGTGCCCACTGTCGAGCTTGGTGACCCAGTGCCCGCGGTTCTGCTAGATGGCTCGGTGCCCGCTGTCATGCCAGATGCTCGGTGCCCGCTGTCGAGCTTGGTGACCCAGTGCCCGCTGTCGTGCCAGATGACTCGGTGCCCGCTGTCGTGCCAGATGACTCGGTGCCCGCTGTCATGTCAGATGACTCGGTGCCCGCTGTCCTGCCAGATGACTCGGTGCCCGCTGTCGAGCTTGGTGACCCAGTGCCCGCGGTTCTGCCAGATGACTCGGTGCCCACTGCTCCGCCTAATAACCCGGTGCCCACTGCTCCGCCTGATGGCCCGGTACCCGCTGCTCTGCCTGGTGGCCCGGTGCCCGCTGCCTTGCCTGCTGCCCCACCTGATGGCCCGGTGCCCGCTGCTCTGCCTGATGGCCCGGTACCTGCTGCTCCGCCTGATGGCCCGGTGCCCGGTGCTCCGCCTGCTGCCCCACCTGATGGCCCGGTGCCTGCTGCTCCGCCTGATGGCCCGGTGCCTGCTGCCCTGCCTGGTGGCCCGGTGCCTGCTGCTCTGCCTGATGGCCCGGTGCCTGCTGCCCTGCCTGGTGGCCCGGTGCCTGCTGCTCCGCCTGATGGCCCGGTGCCTGCTGCCCTGCCTGGTGGCCCGGTGCCTGCATCTCCGCCTGGTGGCCCGGTGCCTGCTGCTCCGCCTGGTGGCCCGGTGCCTGCTGCTCGCCTGATGGCCCGGTGCCTGCTGCCCTGCCTGGTGGCCTGGTGCCTGCTGCTCCGCCTGGTGGCCCAATGCCCGCTGCTCCACCTGGTGATCCGGTGTCCAGCCCGATGTGCCTCTGTCCGGTGTCCAGCCCGATGTGCCTCTGTCCGGTGCCCAGCCCAATGTGCCAGTCTTTGATATCCCGCCAGTTACTGGACCCGGGCGGTGGAACATTTTGTTTGGAGCGTCCTGAGGCCGCTCCTTGAGGGGGGGGGTACTGTCAGGAATGGACTTGCCAATAATGGTGGGACTCACCTGCCTTGTGGGCTGCAGTACCAGGGCTGGCCAGCGGGTGCTCTCAGCAATTAGAGACTCACCCCTGCAGTCAGCCAAACACCTGAAGCTGATTGCAGGGGTTGTATTTAAGGAATGGCCAGACTCACAGTCAAGGCCTTGGTGTGTGTTTTCCATGGGCCCCTGTATCATATATCCTGTTTTCCTGTTCCTGTCTGACTTGTTGCCGACCCTGCCTGATCCTGACCTCTGCTGACTTCTCCTGCTTGATCCCTGGCTTGTGACCCTGACCATTCTCTGCCTGACCCTCTGTACCGCGCTGCCCGTGAGTTACTGAACCCAGCTTGTGACCCCGACCACTCTCCCGCCTGTTCCTGGTACTCCGTTTGCCCATTTGCTACTGACCCGGCCTGCCTGAGGACTCTTGCATTGTATGTATTGTTATCTGTGGGTGGTTTGGTTTGTTTGCACTGTGTTTATGTTTAGTTTTGCACTGCGTTTTATATTGTTAGTCTTAATAAATTATATTGTTTATACCATATCTGAAGCCTGCATTTCCCTGTGTCAGTCCACACACCTCTGGTCATACCTGAAGCCCTGACACTGACTTTCTGGCACTTGGCAAGAGGAGCAGGATGCTCCCACAGCAGGGGGGCAGATTGCGGGCAGCAGCAGGGTGAGGGGATGCTGGGGGGGGGGGGGCAAGCAGGAACCAGGGGATGGGGGGAGATTAGCTCTTTGACAGATACATTCATTTTGTGGGTAAAAAAATGTGCATTTGTTATTTGTTGTTTCTGGAACCTCTAAAGCATTGCACCAGTGATCAGCAGGTCGTTGGTGCCATGCAGATCTCCTGCAGACCTGTCAGTGTACCTGTGTGCCAGTACATCTCGTACGGACAAGTAGACACTTACTGACAGGAAGACTGAATGAAGCTCTGCAGCACCGTGGTATTTCACTGAGAACTACAAGATGATAGCTGTAAAGGCTGTGTTCTAATTCACAGAATAACAAGGCCGGGCGGGCTCGTTTTTTAAAAATTGTGACAGCTAGCAGGGAGAAGCGGCGGGGTGCGGGGGGCTGGTCCATTTGTAACTTGTTACACCCTGAATATGGGTGTAAGATGTTACGAAAGGTGAACTTATCCTTTAATACAATTTCTCCCGACTCCTTATTTCCCGAAACAAGCACTTAAGGCTCACATCACACTTTTACCCAAACCATGTAAGGACCCCACTTTATGTGGGAGTTACCATCCTATCTCACTAACGAACATTGATTTCCATTTCTACTCCTATATTATAACCAATAGAATGATGGTGGAATATGCCCAAAAATGTTGTATACTTGCTTGCCTGATCTCGTCAATACTAAAAAGGCATTTGAGCGGGCTCACTAGGAATTCCTTAAAGGTACGCTCCAACAGATAGGACTTGGATCCAATCTGCTAAACAAACTGTTAGCTTTCTATAACTATCCATTGACGAGAATCCGCTCTAATTGTTTTCTCTGCCCCCCTATGGATTCTTAATGGCACTCAACAGCGCTGCCCTCTCTCCAATCTGCTTTATATGCTCACTATGGAACATCTCGCTATTGCTCTAAGGCAGAACCAAGATATACAGGGTATTCCAATTGGCCAACAACATTATTAGCTGTCACTTTATGCTGATGACATATTGCTTTATTTCATGAACTTACATGTCTCTTTGTTCTATTGTCCAAACATTTGACAAATTTGGCCTTGTGAGCAATTTTAGAGTTATTTATGATAAAATTGAAGCCCTGAGTATATCTTTACCTCCATCATGTCTATCCCAGATCCATACTAATTTTGCATTAAAATGGAAACCAGAAGCTGGTAAATACCTGGGGATCCAGACCTGAACTGCAAATCTGCTTTAAGTCTTACGATAAAGCTAATATCTCATGGTTCAGTCTGATGAATGTAGTTAAGATGGACATCTTACCAAAACTATTCTACGCCTTTCAGGCTGTTTCCATACTTTTTTTCATTTAGTTGACCTTGCTATCAAAGATTTTATATGGCAACAGAATAAATTCAGAATCAAACGGAATATTCTCTCCCTACCCAAACATAAAGTAGGGGACTCATTCCCTCAAATCTCATACTTTCAAGCAGCGTTCTCTCTTAGGATCATTGATTGGTACAATGGGAAAGCTTCCAAACTTTGGACCAATATAGAATGGAACCTTATCACTTTGAGCCTTACTTCCTTGTCCTGGAGGGACCCCTCTCAATGACCTCTAAAGGCTCTTTTGCCCCTGTTAATTGGGGCTACTGTTTATATCTGAGAAGCATACCTATATAAAGGTTTACCCTCTTCAAGATCGAGCCTGTTGACTTTGATATTTTTGTGGGAGTCTCCTTTCTGCATTCTCTTTACTGTCCTGTTTTCCTCCCCTGGCAAAGGGCAGCTAACCCTTTATTGAGCCTTACCCTCCCTGACAAGAAAATGAATTCCCCTTTCTAGGCTACTTCTGACTTGCCACAACCCTGCAAATATGTGGCTGCAATATTATCAACTAAAACACTACCTAGGGACCTGGCCGTCTACGGACCCAATGACTAGACCCTATACCGACTTTGAGTCACTACTCTTCTAGTCCACTAGACCTGAATTTTGCTAAAAGAAACCAATCTGCATCTACCTCCTTTCCTGGCTAAATGGGAACAGGAACTTGATGTTCCAACTGATGTATTGGATTGGGACAAGATACTGGCACTTACCTATAAAATGTCTGTTTCTTCTCATACCCAAGAATCTAACTACCGTATATTGTCTTGATGGTACCGCTGCCCCACAATCTTGCATAAAATAGATCCTACTATCTCTAACATTTGCTGGAGAAGTTAACAGGCTCCTGGCACTATGACCCACATCTGGGGCATATGCCCACTGATCACCCCTTTCTGGGATAAAATACTACACTTGCATGACAAGTTTGTGGGTGACCAATTTCCCAATGAATCTCAAATTACTGTGTCTGTACTGTAGGATTCCTATAAACATTAAAAAATGCCTGATTAGACTTTTTCAGACTACCGCTCTATCTGTGATAGCTAGACATTTTCGACAAGCTGAACTCCATCGCTGGCAGCATGAGCTTGTGAAATGGATAACATGGAACACCATGATAGTCTGTGATGATGAAAAGTTTGAGTAGTATAAGCTTACATGGACAGTATAGTCCCACTTTCAATTCTCTTTAAATTGTATGTCCTTTTGTATCAGGCAAAAATTAAATACTGGGTTGATCCTGGGAACTCCATGGATACATACCTTTCTCCCCCACCCCATTTGAAAAAGAATGTATTTCCCCTTACCCGCTTTGTATGTGTGACCCCTCTTACCCTCTCTCTTTATGCTACCTATTTATTCTCCAAAATTACATTATGTTGGTACCCCATTTATCTTAGTCCACCTGTGATGTATGCCATACTAGTGATCTGGTTACTACTTGTTTACTGCTGCCCTGACTAGACTGCTGGGTAGCAGAGAGTGAACTGATGCTTTTTTATTTCCTTATGGGTACCCTATGGTTACTGTTTCTGTTTGTAGTTTCAACATGTTATACTACAGTAATAGATGTGTGTTATAATACTGTACTCCCAAACCTTGATGCTGGAGCTGCTGTACTGTATTTTGGGATATATTGTACACATTCTGTTCTGTGTTGCATTTTTGAAAGCTCAATAAAAAGATTAACCATAAAGAAATCAGAATTGTTTGACAACTACCGAACTTTGTAAATCCATGCTGACTATTGCTTACACATTGTTTCCTGGCTCATCATGGCAGCTTACAATGGGTTGTGGCTTCGTCCCTGCAACCTGATAGGACTGGTTAGCTATAAATCAAAGACAGACATTCACAGTATTTTTCTTTTTGTCCTCACCTGACCAAGACTGGCGTAGCAAGGTATCCCTTACTGCTTGTCACCCCAGCCAGGTTCAGCCTCTGCTGGGTAGGTCTTTCCTGTACAGCCTTTAAATGAGCTACAGTATATGGTTGGAGCCCAATTCTGGTGGTCTGGGGGAGATGGTTTAGCCTCTCCTGGGTGGAAGTCTTTCTTGCACAGCCTCTAAATGGACTATACGGTTGGAGCTTCCTTCTTGGTGGTCTGGGAAGCATTACCTGACAAAAAAACTTTAAATATGCTTTGGAATAAGTGGCAGCGTTTCCCCTTTGCGTTTCCCTTCTTTTTTTCTTTATCAGT